GGTTCATCTTATGCCAGTGTGGAACCTCATTCAAGCCCTGGAGGCTTAACACAGCACTAGTAAAAAGCGAGAATTAGCTATAAATTATCTGAGTCTCGAGACGGAGCAATCTCCATTTTGACAGCTCCTTGCTAAATAGCACAACACTTTTCAGTGAGGCCTTGTGGTGGATACCTCAGTGGACAGTGCAGGACAACGGCTCCAGAGAGCTCAATTCTGTAGGCAAGGTTGCAACTGACTTACCAAATTATTTTCAGCAGGACTCACCTTCTTTCCTTGCTGCCCGTAAAATGGGAGAGCTCTGAGATTTGTTGGTGAAAAGGATGGTGTAAGAATCTGATTTATTTTCTCCGATACTAAGCATTAATAACAAGAACAATAATGTCACTTCCTTCACAGGAGAAAATCTGTGCCTGCCCATTCTGCCACAATCCAGGCTCTGGAGAAAAAAAAAGTTGCTTCGATGCAGACATTTTTTATGGAACATGAAGTGGGCACAGGGAGGAAGTGATACTAAGCTCTCAGCATGGGAAAATTTCATTCTGAGCAATGTCTCCCAAGAAAATAAAGATTGCATGAAACAAAGTTGAAATGGAACTCCCCATTGTAAATTCAGCTCTTAGTACCTGCCAAAGACACAAGAAAATCTCTACCCAGAGGGAATGGATGTCCTTCTGAAGAAGCGCCAGTCTTTCCCAATGAGGGAATTCACGCAGACATGCATTCTGCTTCAGTGATCAAACTCTTCCTCTCAAGGTCTCAAGGAATTTCCACTAACCTCCTTTCTTACAGCTCAGTCTCTAGCTGGATTTCCTTCAACTACAAAAATATACATGGTGCAATTAGCCAACCCTCACAGACTGTAGTTCATTTATGCATGCTAGGCACACCTCCTGCTGCGAGCAGCCCATCCAGAGCGAACTCTCTGAACTGCTCCATTGTTTCTCACGTAGTGTATTGCATTGTCCAGTCTGATCGCTCCTGGCAAGGCAGCGCACTCCTGCAGCTTGCTGCAGGAAGAGAAGAGATGATGGAGCACTTTGTCCAGCTGGTGTGCTGGACATCTCAGGTGCACAAATAAGCTAGCCTACCACTAACTACAGGACTTTCCCAGACACCACAGAGACCTTTATTGACCAATTGTTCTCATATGACCTTACCTGGAAACCCTCTCTAATCTATAGTTAGTGGTCTGGAGAGACAGAAGCCATAAAAGAGAAGTAAGAAAGAACTGCATGAAAAAAAAAAAAAAAAAAAAAAAAAAAAAAAAAAAAAAACAGAAAGAAATAATTTTTTAAAGAATTTGAACCAAAAACATATCGTGACACACCTTTCAACAATGTTTGCTGAACTAAAAAACACATGTCTCCACAGTTTAAAATACCATGGAGACAACATGGATCAACCAAAAATACACTCACAACCACCAGACAGCGTAGCATTTTTCTACATTTAGTAAGGAATATTTTTGTAATTGGTAGCTTGAGCAAACTGCAAAGGACTATACAACCTCATTTCCAAATACCCATTGGTAGACTGTTTCTGAATTAAATGAGTGAAATACTACAGAAAATGGGAAGCAAAGCTGGTCGCGTGATTTTCAAGCGACCATTCACATTTCTCCGTTTGTCTTTGACTGGATACTGTTTTGGGTAGGAAAAGAGATCATACATCAAAAAAAGTCCTGCTCTGCTGATCTAAAGAGGAAGAGACATTTCATTTTAGAACAAAGAATTAGATTTTTTTTTTACCTTGCTTCAGTGGAGGTTTTTGGAGGTTTTTCTTGGGGTGATGGGGGTGGGGTGTTTGGCTTTGCTATAATACAGCACATCAAAGTGCTTTTGATGTGAAGTTTACTTAACAGAATCAGTTTTTCCGATGATTGTGTTAATCTTTATAAACCTGAAGGCGATACTGTGCCTTTTTAAAAACTATAGCAGGAAAAGACTTGAGGTTACATATACTCTCGGTGGTGAGAGATGGGAGTAGTTGGATTATTTCACCACTTCTTACAACTTTGCTGGTGTTTCATGGGCAGCGTTAGCAATGGGTTTGATATTGCTCTCACTCAGGCCAGGAAGGCTCTATTTAAACCCTGCACAGACCTTTCATAAGCACCTTTCATATATTTTCTCAGGTCAGAGACACCAGAGATTTCAAGGGACAGTTTACAACAGGCACTGGCTCAGAGATAGTAAAGGGGCCTTGAGCCAGCACAAGAATCAGCACTGATCTTAGAAAGGTGCCCTGCTCCCACCCATTAATAGCTATCTTTGTATTATTTTGAGTACAAGCTTCTGTCCCCTCTTGAATCTTGCAAAACCAGCTTTGCCATCCACTCCTAGTCTTGAAGTATGGCTGTGAAAAAGCTTCTGTTATGTCTGACGTGTTTACCTACAGCATTTGAATGACTTTTTAAGTTCTTTGAATAAAGATAAGAGACAATGTGTACATTTTCCACACAAATAGTGGAACGGTAATAAAATAAACATCAAAGGCAAGCTAGCAAATCATCACTACTTCACTGCTATTTACAACAAAAGCAGGAAGAGGAACAAACCTACCCTTGCCATTGGCATCATCGTAGAAAATATGAGTTTTGGAAGGAATGATACCTTTTTCCCATACCCTTAAACACAAACATTGGCACCTACAGCTAAGACAACAATTTACTGAAGGATTTCAGTTTACATTACATGGAGACAACAACAACAATGAACCAAGAGAGGTCTCCCTCCTCTTATTTTTGTCTTTCTGAATTGCCTGCTTTTCTCAACTGGTACAGCTTTTGTGAGAACAGCAAGACATCCAGTGTATTATTATTTCTATTAAAGCTGTCAAGAATGCAATGAGGGACAGAAGAACCTCTCACTCTTCAGTATTTACCATATAAACTCATGCAGACTGAAGAAATGGCAAAGCTTTGATACAAAATGCACGTGTGTGTGGGGGAACATATATTCTGCTCAAGAGAGATCAAGATCGAAAGTAGGGCTGTTTGTTTCTCCTCTTAGTCTTTTAAACCTGTCTTTTTTCATCTTCCTCTCCAATACTCCTTGAGAGCCAGACCACAGTAGAATAGTTCTAACCAGAGTGACTCTGCACTATGTATTTATTCTAAAATAAGGTCTGATTTAGAAAGACTGCTTTTGGAAAACATGGAGCAATCCAACTCTTACTCCAGGACACAAAATTCGAAGCATATATATGAGAAATAAAACATAAGCACCACACTGGATTTCTGCTGATGCTTTTGTTATTGTTTTGCAGACGCCAGTGCTACTGCCATATGAGTGAAATGGCATTTTGCAATGGACTCTCAGTGAGCAGAACAGGGAGCTTTCAGAGAAGCTACTGCCAGCTAGCTCTCTTTATTGAGTTGCTCTACCTAGCATAATGTTGAAGGAGAAAAAAAAAAAAAACCTGAAGGAGGGCAAGACCCTGACAACTTAAACCTAAAAACAAACCCAAAAAGGTTGACTAATTTTTTTAGAAAGAAGAGTGTCTAGGTAAAATTGCAAAATACATTGTCCCAAGTTTTATGGGAAATTTACAGATTCACAGTGATTTTAAAAATGTTAAATTACCATTTAAAAAAACCTGAACCCAAAACCTACACAATAAAAGATTTTACTAGAGAGTGGCAGTTGTGAGAGAGGTTACGAACACACCACCCAGAAGAGCTTAAGCCATGCTACTACAGAAACAGTAGCACACGTAAAACTGAGGTTAAGGCTTTGACTAACTCTCTCATAGAAAACTCCAAAGCATTGCCTACCTGTTCCCATTCTACCTCTGCACCAGGTGTGCTTATGACAGAAGGAAAGAGAGACTAGGACTGAAACTGTTTTGTCAGGCTACATAAATCATTAGGAATTCACAACTGCAAAGCCATGTATTATTTTCCAACAGGTTGTTGAGCTGTCATATTACAACTTGTTGCTTTATACGGCGCTATTAAAATAAATCACTGCACGTAACAGGTTCAGCTCTGCCACCTATAAGTCATTCTGCATTTTACACCTGGGAGGCGGGCCGGGTCTGCTTAGTCGCACCGAACTGCGGCTTCGTTCGAAATACCCGGGAAGGGGAGGGACCTGGCAGGAGAAAATACAAACAAGTTTCGTAAAATAACTTTCCAACAAGACCTCGCTGTCATCTTGGCTAATTACGGCTCTGATACGGCTTATTAGGGCATACCCACCTTTGCTACCTTGCTTCTCCACCCACCACCCTTTCAGATCTTTGTCCTGGCTCCGCCTCTCGCCGGCGTTATAATGGGCTGGTCTGAAAGTGGTGGAGAGACACACAAGCACAGGGGAAGGGAGAGATAATGACAATAACACTAATAACCCTAATAACCCGTCTGCTGCCCGCCTCGCAGCGAGGAGCCAGCCCGGCGTCCCGGCACTGACAGGGGTCGAAGCCGGAGAGAGCGGAGTAACCCCGACGGCCCTCGAGAGCTTCTCCCCGCGCCCGGAGAGCGCCGATCGGTAACAGCGGCAGCGCCCCCGAGGAGGACCGAGCCCGGTCGGACACGGAGAAGTGCCGGCTCCGGCAGCCGCCCGCCCGCCCTCCACTCGCACCGGGGACCTCTTCGCCCCTCTCCTTCGGCCCCATGGAGCAGTGAGAGTAAAGAGCGAGAAGGACAAAAAGGGGGGCCAAAGGAGAGCGAGCATCCCAGTGGGGAAGAAGGAGGTGGACGCCCGGAGGAATCGCCCAGCCCCGCAGGCGGCAGGGCACCTCAGCCCGTCCTCGGCGCCCACCGACGGCGAAGGGGCCGGGCCCTGCTAGCGACCCCGGGCCGGCGGGCTGAGGCGGGCGCCCAGCGGAGCCGAGGCAGGCGCCTGCCGCCGCGGAGCTGTCCAAGCCGGTGAGGGAACAGAAAGCCCCTGGGTCGCCTCGCCGCCTCCCGCCTCCCTTGAGGCCGCGCCGAGGGGCGGGGGTCGCGCCCGCCCAGCGGAGCCGCGGGGTGCGGGGGGGCCGGCGGCGCCGCCGCCATGAAGCTGGAGGTGTTCTCGCAGCACTATGAGGACAAGCTGAGCACCGGCAGCGACCAGGAAGGCAGCGGCTCGCTCTCCCCGGCTCCGGCGGAGAGCGAACTGGGCTCGGACGGTGACTGCGCGGCCAACAGCCCGGGCGGCGGGGCCGGGCGGCCGGGGCATCCCCCTCCGCCGCCCCCCACGCCGCAGCCCCCGCCACCGCCGCCTGCCGAGAGCGCCAAGGGGAAACCCTACACGCGGCGCCCGAAACCGCCCTACTCCTACATCGCGCTGATCGCCATGGCCATCCGCGACTCGGCCGGCGGCCGCCTGACCCTGGCCGAGATCAATGACTACCTGATGAGCCGCTTCCCCTTCTTCCGCGGCGCCTACACCGGCTGGCGCAACTCGGTGCGCCACAACCTCTCCCTCAACGACTGCTTCGTCAAGGTGCTGCGCGACCCGGCGCGGCCCTGGGGCAAGGACAACTACTGGATGCTGAACCCCAGCAGCGAGTACACCTTCGCCGACGGCGTCTTCCGCCGCCGCCGCAAGCGCCTCAGCCGCGCCGCCCCGCCGCCGCAGCCCGCCCGCCCCGCCGCCGGCGTCCCGCCGCAAGTGCGGCGGGCGGGGGCCTCCGCCCGGCTCCCCGCTCTACGGGCCCCTCCGGCTGGCCGGGCCGCTGCCGCCGGCGGCGGGGGGCTCGGCCTCGTTCCAGCCGTACGCCGTGGAGACCCCGCTGGCTTAATGGAGCCCCCCTCCTCCCCTGCGAGGGACCTGCCCGGGGAGGCGTGGAGGGGGAAAGGAGGAGGCTCTGGATCCCGCACTTTAACTCCAGAGGCGACCACAGCCTCCAAGCAAAAGCCTCGGTGACTGTGCCTTAGTGAAATGACAGTGGGTTTAACTTAAGCCAAAAAAAAAAAAAAAAAAAAAAAACTGTCTGTTTGGACATAGCCATGAGCCTCAAGTGCTTCTTACTGTTTGTTGAGACTACTTGACTTAAGCCAGTCCCTCGCCATCTCCTTTCTGTGCCCCTCTCTTGTCCCCACATCTCCTGCTACCGAAGCCTGGGGCAGCAGAGCGGGGGCGCCCCGCGGAGGGCGCGGTGGCGGCCGCTGGGGGATGCGCTGTGCGCTTGGGAGGAGGGAGCGGGGGCCGGGAACAGCAGGGAGAGAGTAGGGGAGGGGGCCGGGGTCTGCTGAGGAGCCGTAGGTCTGTACTGCAAAGCAATGCATCACTGTGCCAAAAGAAACCTTTTCTCCTGTCCGGCAGCTGGCATTTCCTGGGAAGGGAGGATATTAAATTATTTATAAAAGTAGTGTTTTTAACACAAAGAGAGTGCAGCTTTTAAAATTAATTATTGGAGGGGGCGGGAGAGGGGAAAGGGCTCAAGGAAATGTCAGGCGTTGTCTCCTGTACTGGCTGGCGTTCTACGTTTGTGGCCAAGACCATTGCTACTGGAAAGAGAAGAGTAAATTTTTTCGTATTTTATTTTTATGTTTGTATGTAATATATGTGCGTGTGCATTTTATTGACGCTCGGCCATCATGTTTTTCCGGTTTTTTTTTCCTTTCTCCTTTTCCCCGAATAAAAGCTGCCCCCTAAATAAAGGCGGTAATGAGGAGAAGAGCGTGATGTCTGTGCTGGCGTGAGGGAGGGAAGCCTGTCGTGGGACAACCTTGACCGAGAAGCTTGGCTAGGGCTGAGGGGGTAGCAAGGCTGCCCGCCCTTTCATCCCCATCCCGGCCGGCGGGTAGAGGTGCCACCTATGGACCCGCCTTATTTTAGTCACGGGAGATGAGAAGTTCTCCTCTTGGGCTGCCGCCAGATATGAAAGTCCTCTGCAATTCCTCGAGTCAAATCAGAATTTCTCGCCGGGGCTCAGCCCTGCAGAAATGCTGGCGATTTGCAGGCAGAGAGATTTGCAGGCAAACCACCTGACGTGGGGCAGCCTGTGAAAATACTGTACATCTGCCTGCCAGTTTTTTTCTTCCCCTCCGTTTTTTTGGTTTTTTTCTGTTGTTGTTATTGTGGTTGTGGTTGTTATTTTTCCCACGAAGGACAGCAGGCGACATGTAATCCTGTTGTCATCTCTCGGTCCAAGGAAAACTCGCTTCAGGAAGGTCGTTGGCACAACCGGACTCCGGTTGCTTCTGGTGGAGATATCCCCGGTGGCACTTACACCGGGCGAACCCTCAGCGGGGTGAAAGCTGGGAAAATATCTGCTGGTAATAAAAAGTTTGCACGCGTTGCCTTCTCCCGATGGGCGTTATGTTAAGGCTGATTTGTATTGTCAGAAGTGATCAGCAAAGCCTCAGAAGGGCTAAATAGGGAAAAGGAAAGGTCGGGGAGGCTAACTGCCCGTGCTGCTGAATTACAAATGAGTGTCTTCCCCGAACTCGAAGAGTTTATACAAATGCTGAAATGATAATTCGGGGTTCGTTTGTTCGGTTGCTTGTTTTAATTAATACTTTTAAATGTATGAAAATCGGCGAGTTTCTTCCCCTTTAAGTACTCTGTAAGCTCAGGTTACCTAAAAAAAACGATGTCAAGGAGAAGTTTTAATTACACCTATTTCGGAGCTTGGAGTTTCTCTTCCACCTCTTGTTCCCTCAGCGCCGAGATTCAGCTGCTGAATCCTAGCTTCTATCCTACTCGCAAAAATTATTCTAAACAGCAAAGGTGTGTTGTGAAAGGAAAGCTTCAAACAGAACAATCTGCGGCCGAAAACACCGACTTGTTTCAATACAGCTCAAACAGATTTCACGGTGCGTTAAGCTCAGACCATAACATCCATCAGAACATTGCGAGAGATTAGTGACTAATGTATGAAGTAATCCAGCCCTTGAAGGAATTGGTTTTTATGTACACACGCGCACGCACATATACACACACACTGTTTCGACATCATTCTGCCTTCAAGGCTCTGTGCAAATACTAACCTACCCTTCCATAATCTGCTCTTTCCTCTGGCTTGTATTTTACCATCTCTTTTTTATAGGAGTTCATATGACCTGTTAGCATGCGACTCCTAGTGTCTTTTGCTTTTGTCCATCTGTAAAAGTCATCTTTCAGGGTATGTTAAAAATATCTTGATGGAAAGTGGAATTCGTTATTATAGCCAGAAGCGTGTATTTTAATCTGATAGATTTAAGTGTGAATAAGGATGAACTGTGTGTAAACGTATGTTGAGCAGGATGACATTGAGGTTTTTTTTAAAAAAAAAAAAAAAAAAAAAAAAAAAAAAAAAAAAAAGAAAGCCCTCAGGGTTCGAAATACCCAAAAAAAAAAAAAAAAAAGCAAGCCCGCAGAGTTCGACATATCCCTTGTTAATAAGTATTATATTCTGTATTTATTTTCTATGAAACGCCATTTTTCGATATGTCAGAAACGTATGTCAACAGTACAGTAACAGGGACATCTGTGTCCTCGCGGTCCTTTCTTAGCCCTTGTTTGGATTTCCTCAGACGGTCGGGATGAGGGTTTAAAGTGGTCCCCGGTGCGGGGCGATGGGAGCAGGGGTCAGGCATCGCCTGCTGTCCGGAGCCCGCTGTCGCTTGCTGAAGGGTAGGGAGGGTCTTCTCCTCCTCCTCCTGCCTGAGCATCATCCTCCTAATAGGAGGCAAGAGACGAATTTCCCCCTCTTGACCTTTGGGTAGAAATTGTCCCATTCGCGCTACTTCTCAGAGCACGCCAGCTGATTTGCCTCCGAGGGAGTGAAGGCACGGGCAGGAAAAAGCCGCTGTGCCGGTGCTGTGGCCCCGCACACGGCAGCGGCACCGCAGCAGCCCCGCCGGGCGGGCAGAGCGGCCGCGGGGACCGGCCCCAGCCCCAGCCCGGCGCTCGGAGCGGAGCCGGCCGGCCCCGGTGCACAGCCATAAATCCGAGCTGTCAGCTCTGACAGACGGCTGGTGAAACACAGCACCTGTCCAAACACTTTCCAGCGGCAGGTAATCAGAGAACCGACACTTTACATTTTTGTGCGGAACAAGCGCATTAACCATTTCACAGACCTTCCCAAAACAGCGATGTTTGTATGTCTGGGTACTTTGTCCTTTTTAACGTCTAATAAATCAGGATGACAGAAGAGAGACAAAGCCTTTTGCCTTGTGATATTTGACACATCAGCAGCTAGCCAACACTTTGGCGCCATGGCCTTTCAGTCCTACCAGTGTCTGCGTCACCCACAGCGTGTTTGTTGGATGGGTGCCGTTTGTGATGATACTTGAGGGATTTTTACACACTGCACGGGCAAAAATTAGGTCAACAGCAAAGAAAGCCTGACAGGAACAGGGAGCAAAACAAGTCTACCACCGTGTGAGAGGACCTGAAAATATCCCATGCTGGCTGCTCCAACCCTGCTGCAGTTTCTTCAATAGAAACACTAGTCTAAGCAGAATTGCATGTGAATTCAGATTCAGACCAGGCTCTGGTTTTAAGCACTTTTTTGAGGAGATTTCGCTTTCCAAATAAATATATTTTGTTCCTCAGACTTTTCCCCCCTAGAACTGATTCATCTCTTTCAGGCTTTGAATGTATAAACTTGCTTTAAAGCGGGGGGAACAAATCATACCTGCCAATCAAAATATTTTCATCAACTATTTTGGGCAGTTTCTTCATATCCTGCCCCAGCTATGGCAGATAGTGATTAAAATGGTTACTTTAGTAGTATTAGTCCTAGCCACTTTCCTACATCTCTTCAGATTTTAAGCTGGTGAGCAGCAGAACTGCATAGACCTTTCCTGAATGGAATAAGACCAAATTAATGCAAAGGAGATGTTTAAGCAGAATTTTGTGCACTTGAGGAATTAATGGCTGCCAAACATGAACTCACAGAAGAAAAGAGCTTGCAAAAGTTAACTGTAGATAACAGCTTGCATATATTACATAGAGTCCATGCAACAGGATAATAATACTGTGCCTATTCTCCTCTATAGTGGAGGCAAAGTGTTTAACTCCTGTATCTCAGTGGAGGCATGCCAGCAGGACAGCCCTTTGACTGTTATTTTCCTATCAGATTAATTAACCCAAATGTTCACCATCCAGATCTGATGAAGCCTGAAATTTGCTTTCAGCTTACCTTCCAAATCACACATAAGATGGCATAAGTATCCCATCAGTATCCATAATGCTACTCAGGAAGGAATCCACTGAAATCAGTAATTTTATTCAACAGCCAGCTCAGCACAGCAGTACTAGCTACAAAACTCAGTTCAACACAGCTCTTTAGTGAAAGCTCCTAAGGAAAAAATTGTTGCCCTTTTTATCATACTAGATGCTAAGAAAACCGAAAAAAGTTGGATGGATTTTTGTCTTGGGAATTTGCAGATATTTCTACCCCAAACCATTTTTCAAAATGGTGATTCTTAAGGGCTGGATGTTTCAGGAACAGAAGACCCTTAGAAAAGGCAATTCCACCTCAGAAAAGGCACATACAAAGGACTCACATTCACAGGGCCTTCATTTTTCACACCATGCCTTAAGAAGCCCAAGGTGAAACTTCCTACACAAGAGCAAGGAGAACAACCACAGCCCTACACAGAAAGGTAGTGCTTCTAACCAAAGCCCACATTTTGCACAACTCCTCACTGGGCTGGGGGAGGTGTTTCTTTTAATAACAGGCAAGAGAGTCAGTCCTTTTGTTGTGCCAGGCTTTCTGCCTTTTAAGTCTGAAGTAGACAAAAACAAAGCTGAAATCCACCTCCAGCCAAATTCGAGGCACTAAGTTGTGATTTTGTCAATAGCGCTTGTTGCAACTTTGCTGAGCACTACAGTAGCTCTTTAATGATGGGATGAATATAGTTCCATCTTTCGTTTACATCCTGAAGAGGAAATATTTTCCTCTTGACTAAATTTCCTTCATTGACTCTCAG